GAGCATCTTGGAAACTAAGTTCTACTTCTTTAGTCCACCAGATATCCAAGCATGTAGTGTCCTCAGCTCACCTCATTATGTACACCCACTATAGCACCTGAAACTGCCCATCTCACTAGTGTTATACTACATCTCAGTTCCTTTAACACATTGCTTTTTTAAATAACTGTAATAAGGCTCACTGGGGTGAGCAGTTGTTTGTACTCCAGCAGTTAAATAAAATTTAGGATTGTAACAAAACCTACAGTGCATCAGAGCTGGCATTCATGACAAACACTGTTTAAGAGAAACATTATTTATGGGGAAAATGGCTCTGAAAATAAACTCCTACACATGTTTAATGTCTTCTTTCCTTTATTTTTATTCTAAGCAGCAGGAAGGATTTAGAAAAACGGCACAACCCAAGACAACGAAAGAAGGCTTGATGCCCTGCAATAACTATATGTAAAATTGCCTTAAAAAAAATCAGTTCAAGAATTGTTCAATCTACAGTATATCACAGATAAAACATGAAAAAGAAAAGATGCTCAGAGTAATCTTAAATTTCAATCCAGTAAAGGCCATTTATATTCTCGATGATTCATATTCAAGAACAAAGAAAATGTAAATTCTCATCATTACAACCCCTTTTTCATTTCTTATTTGCTGATGTATATCAGATTATTGAATTTTAGAAAATGATGAGAAGATTTGGAGAGTGCTTCACTCTGCAAACTTTCATTATTTTTAAAATATTATCATATTTGAATATGCTCAAGTTTCAAATAAAGTGGAAGTATTTCTAACTAAGAGCTAAAATGGCTTAATTAAATAAAAGACACCTGTGCAGCCTCATCTAGCCTGTGTTTTCATTCTTTGTTCCATAAAACTACAATTATGCACCTGCAGGTCACCCCAGAAACTACAAATTGCTTTTTTATAGAATGAGGCAGATACGGAGGGGCATGGAGTACCACATTGCTTTTAAGATGACACGCACATCCAGATCCTGAGCCTTGATCTCCGAGTCTCCTGTACACAAATATTCCTCTGTATTTTGGTACACAGTGGAATTGTGGAGCATGAGCTCCTTGAATATATGACTGGAAATACTTTGGCTGTTGATCAACACAGATGCCAGAATCCACTTCACATACACATTGCTCATCAGAAGGAACCCAACATGGCTAAGATGCTAAAACTTCAGAAACTTGCTCTATTAACAGGAATGTCAGGCCTTTCTATTGTACATTACTGCTTTCTGTTTATATGAGAAAAATGGGCTTTGTCTGGACTTCCTGGTCCAAAGCCCCAGAGCCATCCTCCTGAGCCTAACATCTGGCAAGAACAGGCAATTTTTCTGCTGGTTCAACTTGATAGTGCCATTGTGTGAAAAACTGCAGTGTACTGAGTAGAGATCTTAAATTATCTTTTTCATGGGTAAGGAAAAAGCAAACAACTAATGTGACAGTACGAAATGCCAGGCATCATTCAACCTCCTGAAACCTGGCTAAGAAAACATCTAAAAGCCAAAAGCTATATTTAGATCTATGTGACAATAGCTTCTGCTCTGTAAATCCATGATTTATTACTCCAGGGGATGGAGTGCATTTTGCCAAGGGAATTTCTCCAGTCAGTAAGTTCCTCTTAAAAATGGGCAGTACCAGTCAAGAGTGAACACTGAGGAGGGGTAAATGTGTTTTCCTTTCCCCATGATACAGATAAGTGGATTTAAAGATGGGGAGGGAAGCCTTTTTTGCATGAACAGGCAGTTAGCATCAATGATAGAAACACATCAAAGACTGCATTATCACAAAAGAAAAGCAATATGTTTATGAGAGATGTTACCATGAAATTTGACAATTATTTTGTGCTACTGCTGACTAGACCTAAAGCTTATTTCCACAGTTCATGCCCACATGATACACAGATACACATACACCTATATATGGGTGGCAATTTTGAACAGTGCATATGCACAATGATAAACACTCACATACTTGCATCTGCACACACTCTCTCAACCATACACACACGCACACCCTATATACAAGAAAGCCATGAGAAACTCATAGGAGGAACTCCATACAGTCATTCATTAGGGCATGGAGACTACCATGTAAAGACTATCAATCAGGTGCAGTGTGACTTATTTTTTAAATGAGATATTTTAACACAGATTTTCTAAGTTACTCAGTTTTACCAGAAAAGAACATTTTGGCAGAATACCTTACATCCCTATGGAATTAATAAGCTACATCTATATGAAGGTTTGCCAATACTGTTGCATTTCAGCAGTGATGCTAAGGTAACTAGGGAGACAACTATTTTCCACAGTGAAATGCCAGCCTGAAAAGTACATTCTACACAGAGCACCACACAAGTCAGAAAGTCTCCTTAACAAGTACAATATTCAGATTCCATGCTAAATAGTTTAAAATAGAACTGAAAAATTATCAAAGTTGAAGATCATTATTGCAAGCTTTGACTTTTTAAGAGAGTCTCAATTCAGTCTTTGGGTTATGGGGTGGGAGATTTGGATTGGGTTTTGTTGGGGTTGAGGGCTATGTGAGCACAGGTTTTCATTGGCAGCAAGTATTTTGAGCATATTAGGATATTAACTAACTTGTGAGATATCTTAATGCTCTATAAGGTGTGTCCAGTTGAATTAACTTGCAAAACTGCCAAGTGTGGTTAGGCCTATCACAAAATTAATTTTCAAAATCAAATCAATAATGAATTACAGATAAGATTACACATTCATCAATATGGAAGTTAACCTACTTGACATTTATGTTCCTCAAACAGACAGTTGGCATGTGCCTTTTCTATGAATGTTGACAAGTCATAAGGAAAACACTGTTACAAGATTTACAGTTAATACTATGACAGATGATTGACTGATAAATCAAATTCTAGGCATGAGATCTACCTGTTTTTCTACCTGCTTTCTACCACATCCTGTGTGTTAGACATGTCACATCTTTCTGCCTCAGTGTCCCCAGAAGGGAAATGTCCACTCCCCTGGAGGTACTGTGAAACTGAATCAGTGTATAAGCTTCATATAATCTAGACAGCATCGATACAAATGGGAGACATTCAGCACCTTGAAATACATGGTAATGCCTTGTAGGATCAAACCTAACTATACATGTTCTTTGAAGATCAATTATGCGGTGACCCAATATAGTCTGAGGGCAAAATTTACCTTCAAAACTTACAAGGGAAGTGCTACACATATTCATTAACATTAGTCAAATCATCACCTATGCTACTGGCTTACAGAATAGCAAACATAACAAGATCTCTAATTTTAGTATCATTTGAAAATCTGGAGTCAGAGCAAATAATGAAGAGTAATACAATCAGATTCCAAAGGATTTGGATCATTTAGGTAATTAGGCTAGCAGATGGCAAATGCAGTTCAGTGCAGAAAAATGTAAAATAATTGGTCTGGGAATATGTGCTAAGTGGAACAATCATATAGCATGATCATTAAGGAGAAGCATTACTTGTGGGGAAAAAATGGAGACAGACAAATAGTCTATGACAACATATTAGCAAATTAAAAATATTAAAAAGGAAATGGTACAAGGCATTTATTAGACTCTCTGAGGTATAATGCCTGTGAACTGTTTTTATAATCAAGAGATCCAGCCAGGAAATTCTTTAATTAGGTAACAGGATCAGCTAGCGTGAAAGTGCAAGTATAAACAGAAGCATTCAACACCTTACAGGATGTGTTTGGCATCACATAGTATCAAATCCAAAGTCAGTCAAGTTCTTTGAAGATCAAGTACACTAGAATATAACTAAGGCTCTTTGAAGTTTAAAGCCACAAAAGAAAACAAGCCTAGATAGCACAAGAAACACTAACCTACGTGATTAATAGTCAATATCCACTGAAGAAGCAACTCTAGGAAACTTCTTGGTCTCACCATTGGAGTGGTTGGGATTTGAGTATGACACCAAAAATGCAAGCTCTTTGTCTAAACTAGGCATACCAAGGACCCTAAACACAATTCTAATTACTACACTCTCAGAAGTTCTAGAGTGAGTTTTCCAATTCTGTTCTAAAGCAAAGGTCTCTTTCCTATTACACATTTCTTTGAAAAGCTTGATAATATAATTCTTATTAAAACTTGGAAAATTCACAACCAGCTGCACTAGTTATTATACATCAGGGATCACCATGGCACAAAAATAATTCATGTAGAAACAAAACCTTGGTTCTACAGTTGTTCTTCAACAATTGCATTGTCCAAAAAAAAAGATATAATACAACAAATGATAAGAGCAACAGAGAGTAATCAGATCTGGGATGCAGCTATGTAAAAGTATTGCAGAGTTGTCAGTTCAGATACAAACTGGTCCTCTTAAAAAATAACAGAACGCAACACAAAGACAAAACGCTAAGCTAAAAAGAAAGATTTGTGAAACATTGATAAATAGGCATTCCTACACTTAAAAGATGTTATTACATATGACTGCTGACATTTTAGGACAATGAAAGTTATGAGGAAAAAATACAGGCAGACATGGCCCATTTTCACTGGAAATCATGACATGGAGATGTGACAAAATAGAGATTTTTCATAGCTACAGACTATTGTTAGGTATTTTTCACAGTAATAAAAGCCAAAAATCTGCAATTAAAAAAAAAAAAGTCAGTCCTGTTTGTGCCATCAGACCTATTCAGAGGTCTGTGCAACCAGAGCAGGATTCAAGTCCAAAATTTGAAAGTTACAGAATAGGAATCAAAATACGAAAACAGCTGAAGGGCTGTAAAAAGCAGACAGGTAGGATTAAGATTTCAATAAATATTAAGAAGCACGTTCCTAATCCTAGAAGATCATTAGTTCTCATATTAAAACAGCAAAGTTCTTCCCTTGGACCATTAATTTCCTTTTTCATCTTAACCTGCTAACTTTATTTTGTGCTGGAGCTATCATATGGAAGTGCTTTGAGTTCTTTTCTCTGATTGCTCTGGCAGAGTTATATGAATCATTACCTACCATTACCTTTATTTCAAATCTGTCAGTTCTTCCTCTCTGTAGCCAACAAGCTGCAAGAAGGGAAAAAAAATGCAGTCTCTATCAGAAAATAAAACCGCCTATACAAAAATGAGCTGAAAGGAGCATGTGAACAAAGGGGAAGGGGGACTTGATAAATCTGCTCGCTCGCTCTCTGCAAATGACATTCTACTCTCCTGCTATTTAAAAATTAACAGACAAACAAACCCACAAGACTAACACACAATATACGCTGGAGCTGGCTACTGCCCATGACTCTCCTTTTTTCTGCCACACCTTGAGTTACCTCAAACATTCCACAAATAATATGTAAATAGAAATAATACTGATACCGCTGCCTCATGCATGGAAAAAATGTCTGTAAATGGAGCTGAAGTACATGAGAGAAGATGCACTACCCTCAAAGCTGTGTACCTTATGAGGTGCTTTTCAGTAAATCCCTCATGAGCCACACAATGAGCTGTGAGCAATTAATGTTAATTAAATGGCCCCCTCTAACCATAGTGCAGCCAGTGACACATTAATGACCTCAAAACGCACTTGGATTTGAAAGGTTTTTTCCCCTCGAGTGCATGCCAGGCTGCCTTACCTCTGTGAAGCTGTGGCATGCTCCAGCTGCTACTGCACATGTATGGAATGTCATTCCCATTTGCAGTAACATGCGCTGTTTGCCAAACACTGAAGAAAAGTAACTGTTACACAAAAGCATTGCAGATATAGCTCGAAGACTAAAACATGCCAGTAAGCTTTGATTTCCCTGCTTGAAACACCCAGAGAAGCTACATGCAATTGCAAAGTGATGGTGTACTGACAGGCAGACCCTCATGAAGGCAGCCAAGTTAATGCAGCAGAAAGATATTTCAGACGCTTATTTATCACACTCCATGCCACAGGTTAGTGGCAATTCTGTCTCTTAACACACCTCAATAATAAATAAGGAAATGAAAAAGAAAAAAAAAACAATCCTAAAGAATCAAATCCTTTCTTCATGTAACACCACAGAGCTAATGCCAAGAACTATGGTGTCCCAGTGTCTCTCAGTATCAGAAGGCAAAGGAACACAAAAGATCAGTTATCCCTGTACTCTGGAAGTATAATGAAAGCTACTAGAAATGACCAGAGGAAATAACGTAATGAAGTCACAAACAGTCAGCTGAATTCATAGTCAGTCCTTATTTGGCCATTATCCACAGACTGAACTGCAAACATTCATCTCGCATATGAATGCAAGATAAAGAAATACAACGGAAGGACAGAGTGACATGTAAATATCCTTTGAAATCAAACGCCTCTGGGAGATACTAGATATTCAATCAAACTGAATTAACTGACAACAAATGCTGAAGTTTAGTAGAGTGTCTGACAACTTTTATCTCCAGAGCTATCCAAAAAAGAAGATAGAAGTATCTGGAATATGTGTTCAAGAATGAAGCCAGAGCATCTGCTGTGGCAAGCATGTTATTGGGCAGCTGGAAGCAACGAAAAGGAATCTATCAAAGATATGAACAGACTTCTAGGACTTAACAACAAAGGATGTGCAAAGAGGGGCAGAACACACAAACGGATTGCTGAGCCCAGCTGATACCCCAAAGGTCATTTAATGGCACAGAAAGGATTCAGATTCAGAAGCAGATTTCCCATCTTGTTTTGAAAGTATACCTATGCTCCTCTTGGACTGTGATTTACTAACACCTGAAAAGCACAAACCAAACAAACCCTGATCCATACACATACACATAATACTTTTCCTCACAGCTGTTTCTTGCTTGTAGGACCTCTTCTTCCCTTCCATCTCTCTTGAATGATCTATTACAGTTAAAACACAAAACTCAAAAGAGTTCAGACCTGTGATTTTGGTGCTTAGGGACAGGCAAAGATATTTCCACTGCTTCTTCAAGATCTAGCTAATGGCAGAGTCAAGAACACAAAGATGAGGGGAGCATTCTGTGACTAGGTTAGAGAAAAGCTCAAAGAAAAGCTGTTCCAAGAGCTTACATGGTGCAAGAAAAGTCTGAAGAATAATGTAGTAGCTTAAAGCAGAGAAGAGTTATGATGATAGCAGTATACATTTCTTGCAGCTAATACGCAGCTTGTCACAGCCCCTAAAAATCACGGGTTAGTAAGTATGAAAACTAGAATGTAATAATGACATAGTGCATTCCAGCCAAAGCAGAATGCACATTTGAATTTTATTTTCATTTCAATACATGGACACATTCACTGAAGGCTACATACAGACTGAGTACAAAAGACCCAGATAAATTCCAGTATTTTTATTAAAAAATAAATCTATTTTGGTGCTTGGATCCAAAAGCAATCAGTGAGAGATGAAAAACCACAAACAGTCAGAGGCACAAAGGAAAAGACCTTGAAAGAAAGAAAAAGAATGGAGAAAGAAGAAAGAGGGGAAAAAACAAACCCCAAAGCAGGAAGAAGTCTTCAAATTGCACTGTAATGACTACATTGTAATTTGTTCATATTAAGCTTTGATAAGTGTGAAATTCTGAACACAGAGCAAAACACAGCCTGCACCAAAAAAAATTAAATCTTTAATTTCAATACAGAAAGGCCAGTATGCAAATATATCAAGCTATCATCTGCTGCATTACATACAGTCAGAATGTAGCAAGTCTTCTTCTTACTACCACCATTTCATTTGAATTATAATTGCACCTGCAGTCCAGGGAATAATTTCCAGAGATTCCATCGTGCTTCAGAAAATTCAGAATCTCAAACAGCAAGCAGCACACACAGAAGGATGGGAGAATATCAAAGCATACCCTTTAAATCAGCAAGTGTTGGCTTCTTCCACCATCAATCTCTCTAGACAAAAAATAAGACCCAATACAAGATTTGCATTACCCCAGGCTTGGTGAAAATCTGTCATCTACTTATCTACTGCATATGGGCAAAATGAGAACAGTCTCAAATTCTAATAACGCTCTACTGAGTAGGCTTGCACTCTCAGCACAAATTGTCATGGAACTGAAGCCTCTGATAAACACCTATGTAACATTCTGAGCTCAAAGAAGAGCATGAAACTACTCATCAGCTGAGGAATATACTTTCCAGAAAGGCTCCATTTCTTAGGCTTCCATTAAGTGCCACATCTGCAGCTGCAACACACAGTTGCACTTTCTCTTGTAGCCTGCAAAATGGGACAATGCTGGCCGACAGACAGCAAACAATTTGACTAGCTGTTTCTAGCATTTGGGCTCATACAGAAACAGAGATGTTAAAATGTGTCTTGTAATTCAGAGAAACGCCAAATTGCAATGGATGCAAGTGGTACAAGTGTTTCTTTCAGTGCACACCATATGAAAAGTATGCACTAAGACTTTCCCACAATTTGACCTGTTTGAAGACATCAAAGCTCCTAATGAGACCAGAGAGCAGAAGTTGCTCACGTGACGCTTCTCTGCTTTAACTGTGAATTTACAGGTGGAATGCTTAAGCAAGGAAAAATGGCAAATAAACTTGTTTTCTGCAGACTCTATTCTCTGAGAGATTTGCAAACACAGTACGCAAATAAGTGGCTTACAGATTGAAAAGAAAGACATAGTCATCAATATTGTCCCTTTGAATTAGTGTTACCATTGTACCTGTGCAACTTGGGTCATTCTTTTAGACACTGTATGAACAAAGATGAAGAAGAAAAAAAAAGAGTCTACTACCACAACTCGAATAAGAGACTGCAGATTACAAAAAAGGAAGAAAAAGAAACAATGGCATAACATCAGCCATTACAAAGAACAGTGGTCATGGCATAACACAGCTGCTTACCTGGTGGTAACCTCTGACAGGCACCATAAAGAAACTTTTTATAAGGGCCTTGAAGGAGGACAGTTTGCAACTGTGCACCTGGTTACAAAATAAATTATAGCATTTTTAAAAATAAAAGGTGTTAAAACTTTTAAAGTGCATTATGGTGATTGGCAACTAAAGGCAGAAATAAATGTTATAATAATGCCAGAAATAAATGGTGTAATAATGCAGATGTGAGAGAGAACAAATTGCCCTGGGGAAAAGAAAAAAAAAGGCAAACAACTTACATTTAATGTGACAGGTTAGAAGTAGCTAGCTGATGAAGTCAAGGGAAGAAGGGACAAAGGTCAAACAGAGCTAAGAAAATTATCTTTAGAGCAGCATTAATCATCGACACAAGTGGGTCAAAACTGCATTGCCAAGCCTATAAGAAAAGCTGCTGGCATAATCAAGGGATACAAGAGAAAGGGATGAGGATGACTGGGAGGGAAGCCTAAGAATTCTGTTTCGGCTATATTGAGCTTCAACAGGTGCACAGACAGGCTCAAGCAGGTTGCAGACCTAGATTTTAGTTTCATCAGGGAAGCCGCAGAATACTTCCATATCTTGTCAGCATCCAGTCAGTATGTACATAGGTTTGATTTCAGAAATCTCAATTTTCAGAAATTGATTTCTGAAATCAAACCTACAAAAAAATGAGATTGTGAGAGACAGAGGACTAAAAACAATGAAGCTTTTGTAGATTACGGATATGAATTAGGATGGTTTTGAGAAGGATAGGATGAAGATACAGGAAGTACAAGAAACAAATTCAGTGCTTTCTATGTACTATATAAAAGCCATGACAATGTCCTTAGCAAAGAGAATGTCAGCTGTTGATCCTTACTATTTCTTTGTCTGTGTAAGCTTCACTATTACTCCACATGCACATGTGCATTAAAAGAAAGAAAGTAGAACCTCAATTAACAACCTGCTAACACATGACTGACAAAGGAATCTGCTAACCACTGCAGGGAAAGTGCAAGACCCTCACCAAACCAAAGACAGATATTGCACTCTGCTTGTCAATATTAAAAATGATTTCTAAGTAGATTCCTAAAAAATGTTGGAAGGGACCTACAAAAGTCACACAGTCCAAATGCTCTGCTATGAGCAGGGACATCTTCAACTAGATCAGGTTGCTCAACAGCCTCGTCAAGCCTGAACTTGAATGTTTCCAGGATGGGGCATTTACAACCTCTCTGGGTTAAGACATTTTCTGGTGAAC